ACCTCACCTACATGGAGATTATTACACTGGAAACGGCTTAGTGCAGTGTGACTTTTCATCTTAGAGCTAAGTCAACTCTCGTATAAACACACCTACTATAAACATATGGCAATCACATTCAATGCAATAATTTGTTTATACAAAATAATATATTATACCGGGTAAAGTTGAGGGCCACGGGACAAGCAATTCTTTAAGCAAGTTAAGACAGTGATCATCTCATTGGAGATATTTTAAAACAATGAATTAATGAAAATAATGTATATTAATTCAGGCTACTTCTTCATAAGACACACCGTGACACACACACACGAGGAACATTTATCAAGCCGTAAATAAGTAACTACGGGCTCACCATAGCCCGTGCTACTTGGAACTTTATGTTCCAGGTAGCGAATCTTTAACAACAACAACAACAACGTAAACAGCCAAGACAATGCTATAGTATTAATACAAAGAGGAAAATTCATTAAGAAGAATAAGAGATTTTCAGATTTTCAGATTTTCAGAATAATAAGATTTTCAACAAGCCTCAGCTTCCTGGGCAACGCCCACTCTTATCACCATCACAATCACTCTTCATCAACATATTATCTACCACCATTCCTATCTTCACATACTACCACTATTTTCACATACTAATACTATCTTCACATATTACCACTATTAACACACTCCAAACAGTCATCACCAACTACTACTTACTATCACATGACAACAAAATAAATTTGTTGAACCCACATTCCACAACACACTCATAATACGCAGCAGTGCCATTACCAGTACCTTACAGCATACTCAAACACAACATCCACAATTAGCAGTACCCTTCAGCACAAACACATCAGTAACAATTATCAGTACCTTTCAGCACACAAACGCAACAGTAACAATTATCAGTACCTTTCAGCACACAAACGCAACAGTAACAATTATCAGTACCTTTCAGCACACAAACGCAACAGTAACAATTAGCAGTACCCTTCAGCACAAACACATCAGTAACAATTATCAGTACCTTTCAGCACACAAACGCAACAGTAACAATTATCAGTACCTTTCAGCACACAAACACATCAGTAACAATTATCAGTACCTTTCAGCACACAAACGCAACAGTAACAATTAGCAGTACCCTTCAGCACAAACACATCAGTAACAATTATCAGTACCTTTCAGCACACAAACGCAACAGTAACAATTATCAGTACCTTTCAGCACACACAAACGCAACAGTAACAATTAGCAGTACCCTTCAGCACAAACACATCAGTAACAATTATCAGTACCTTTCAGCACACAAACGCAACAGTAACAATTATCAGTACCTTTCAGCACACACAAACGCAACAGTAACAATTAGCAGTACCCTTCAACACGCAGCAGTACTCTTCAGCAGACAAACATAACAGCAAGAATTAGTAGTACCCTTCAACACACACACATATGTAGCAATAGAGTAGTTGTGACCTTCCCCGCGAGAACTTTCTCCACGCTTTCTCCACACAGGTATGTCGCGTGAGGTAAACGCCACAATCTGGCAGCTTGCTCATCATTCGCCCTACACTTATACACACACCACTTGTCTCAAACACTTTCACTACTACTACTGTACTACTACTATCACTACTGATGTTGATACAGATGCTGCTGTTACTTCTACTACTGCTGTTTTTGTTACTACTAACCCTTCACACGATATTTATATATTCGCTCAGAAACAAAAGGAGAAACTAATTATGACCCACACCACTGTGCCGGAAACCAAATAGGAGTGGAGCAACAATAAGGGGGGTGACCTTCGTAGTGGTGCAACGCGCGCAACCTGCATTCATTTGCCTTCAGTCCCATCTGCCTCACTGATTGGTTAGCCTAGTATCTGCCATTGGGCTCACCGACGCTGCATCATTTTTGTGATAATAAAATAGAACTTATGCCGTGCACGTGTATTAAAATAACGCAAAAACAATTTTACATACTAGTTGCACTGCGTACTTAGCTGCAATATGTGATTAATGCGTGACGCTAAGTTCAGTCCGGGCAGACGTTAGGCTCTGATTCCCATCAAACAAGAACATGTTTGAGTAAAGTTGATTATAATGTTTAATTAACAGAGGGTCGAGATTATCAACACTGGGTGTTAATCAACAATGTTTGCCCCGGGAAATGCAAGTGAAAATAACTGCCTAAAAAAACGAAAACTGTAATAAGTATGCAATTGCTATAATGTCCTCTAAACGTATAAACTTCGTTCTAAATATAAGATTATTTATTTGTTGAATTATCTGCTTAAATTACTTTCCCATGAAAATCCAGATATGGTAGTTAGAGAAAGTACCCTACGCAAAGTCACAAGCGAGGCGAGGGGCCCAGCGAAGCGAGAGTCCCTGGTGACAAGATGGAGGGACCCAGCAAGACAAGGGGCCCCTGGTGACAAGATAGAGGGACCCAGCAAGACAAGGGGCCCCTGGTGACAAGATAGAGGGACCCAGCAAGACAAGGGGCCCCTGGTGACAAGATGGAGGGACCCAGCAAGACAAGGGGCCCCTGGTGACAAGATGGAGGGACCCAGCAAGACAAGGGACCCCTGGTGACAAGATGGAGGGACCCAGCAAGACAAGGGGCCCCTGGTGACAAGATGGAGGGACCCAGCGAAGCGCCCCTGGTGTGGTAACAATTATCTTCATTGATAATTACTTATCATGATGGGACTTAACATTCAACAATAACTACGCATAACTTGGCACACGTGTTGCGTAGCTGGTCATTATGGAGTTTGCATAAATTTATTAGTGATCGTTTATGCGTTTGTAAGCATCCATGTCGATGCTTTATTAGTACTGGTGTTATAGAATAATACCAATGCCACAATCCACCAATTAAATTACGAGAAACTCTTTAGATAAATTTGACTGAAAATTGTGGGATCCTCTTCCTTACAGCTCCGCCATTGCGCCTCCCTCTGGTGCACCGCTTACCCTGGCCACCATGGTTGATAATAGACTCTGAGGAGCATATAGGAGCTGCCTCGTGTGGGCCAATAGGCCCTCTGCAGTTCTTATTCCTACTACTATCTCCTCTACTACACTTTGCTCCTCACCTCTCTCTATTGCCTGCATCTACTTCCTCATCACAATCGACTTGAGAATGGTCCAGGACGGACCGAAACGTCGTCGTCCCTTCACCTTCTAGTGTGTGGTCTGGTCAAAATAGACTCTGAGGTTGAAGATGAGCCACAGAGTTTATAATGACCTTGAGATAAATAATTATACCAATTTAACACATCTCAGATAAAGTGAAGTCTACGCTCTTTCATCGCCATACTACCATACTAAAGAGCCACTTAAATTGTATAGGCATCCAATAAAGTTAGGAGAATTTTAGACGTAAATTACTACTTGCCTACAAGTATCACTGGGAGTTTGCACCAACTAAACATCCGATCATATGTAAACTTTATCACCAAAACACCTTATACTCTACATCACTAGGCCCATGTAATACGGAAAAGTGTAATTTGGAGACTACTCTCCCACAAAGCCTAATATTCAGGAATTGTTAAAGTATTTATATTTAGTACGGAATGACATACTGGGCCCAGCGAAGTAAAGTAAATAAAGATCCAAGCAAAGTATCTCAAGTTTGTAATTACCTTGCAGGCGATTTAACATTAAGGAAGACTCACGCAAGGAAACATATTTCTAAGTTCTGATGTTGCTAGAACTTCGATTCTTTCGTGTTATCTCTGGTAATATTAGTAATATTAGAAAAGGTGAGAGCTTGGTTTGCGTGACGGCCAAGCAGAAGTATTTTCCCAGTGGGAACAAAATCCATGAAAAACGGCATTACAACGCCGAATCAACGTCACTCTTGATATTGTGCTTAATGGATTAGTGTCTCGGTGTCACTTTTCTCAAAACCAGAATGAATGATTTTGAAAGAGCATGTGTATAAGATGTTAGTTCCCATTATATACTGCTAAAGACGTTGAAGTTCATTTCAATCTATGAATTTTTACCTAACTGTGCCTACGAAGAAACTTATCTGATGGATCTTGCTTTTCTTGTTGTTCATGTTGTTTTAGATTAAGCTACTCAGAACGAAATGTCCATGTAGCACGGGCTATAGTGAGCCCGTAACTTTAGTTATTAAAACCTGGTTCATTTATACAGCTCATTCTTGAAGTTATGGAATAGGGTGTTTTGCACCGCCTCTGCTCCGTCACACCACTGACCATACACTCACACTTGGCTGACTTAGAGGGGGAGTGAGGTCACTGTACACCTGACCCGATTGAGTATCTCCAGGGGAAAAGGTACGTGGGAGGCCATTGTCCACCTGCCCTGACCGACTCTTAGGCTCCTCAATACCATAAACTTTCTCCATTGCGAAAGTAAAACGGAAATTCCCCTGTACACATTATTTTGAACCTACTTTTCGCTCCTCTAAAATAAAATGCTAAGCAAAAGCAAAACTTCAACAACAATTTTGTATCATGTATAATAAGATCGTGTAATTAGTGTGAACTAGTCCGTGTATATATATATATATATATATATATATATATATATATATATATATATATATATATATATATATATATATATATATATATATATATATATATATATATATATATATATATATATATATATATATATATATATATATATATATATATATATATATATATATATATATATAGTTACTTCACAGCCGTGGTGGGGGGACACTAAACAATTATAGCCTACTAGTGTTGTAACACGCCTTACATAACTACACGAACACTGACACCACCACAGACATAATAAGCTGGTGTTATGGACATACACCAAGCTGATATAGAGAATGTCCAATGGTATACCTATATTTAAATAAGCAGCACTAACATATTGCGAATAAATACCGAGATATTATATTAAAACACCAACGATACCGTGGCTGATGCTTCACCACCTTGAAAAATAAGGTGGGAAGAAAAAATGGTGGCTGGATCTTACCTTAAGGAAGAAGGAATGTGAAGCACGTATACCCTCGACGCCGTCCTCCGCTACACTGACGGTCGCCACCACCAGGCCACCCGCTTCTACCACACTAACCCCCCCACCTCCCCCTATAACCTCTAACAGAAACACTCGATGAATCCTGATGCTTCTTTGGTTTATCTGGTCCATTATATTAATGTTTAATACCTGCTTCCGCTGTAAGTATATTTCCTGCCCGAAACGCTTTGCGTAATAGTGGCTTTAGGCATTGTATGTACTAGCTCTATCTATAAAGCCAACAAACTTTGTAAAATCTCTTTATGTATGTACCTTACCTAAATAAAAATTATTATTATAATTATTATTATTATTATTATACTTAGCAATTCGCCTTTCTATATCGGATTCTGTAATTAATTTCATCTAATATAAAATGTTAAGCAAAGGCAAAACCGCCGCCACTGTTCGAGTATTGTTTTTCTGTATTCTTGCCTAAATAAACATTATCATTATCAGACATTTCTGATGCTATAGACATTTCTATTGTTACCTATGGCTTCGCAATGCTTCCTATATCGTTTTAAAACAATATATTTTCAATGCAGCATTTATCTTCTTAATTATCTAAATACATTCTTAATTATCAATATACTTTTAGCTGACAATTAATTACTCATATACCTCCTTATTTATTCATATACTTTCCTAATACTAAATTTATATAACTTTTAATTAGTTAGTAGGCATCCACTATATCTTATAGTGCTTCATGTATCGTCTTAATGCTTCACATACCGCCTTAATGCTTCATGTATTATCTTAATGCCTCATATACCGCCTTAATGCTTCATGTATCATCTTAATGCCTCATATACCGCCTTAATGCTTCATGTATTATCTTAATGCCTCATATACCGCCTTAATGCTTCATGTATTATCTTAATGCCTCATATACCGCCTTAATGCTTCATGTATCATCTTAATGCCTCATATACCGCCTTAATGCTTCATGTATTATCTTAATGCCTCATATACCGCCTTAATGCTTCATGTATCATCTTAATGCCTCATATACCGCCTTAATGCTTCATGTATCATCTTAATGCCTCATATGCCGCCTTAATGCTTCATGTATCATCTTAATGCCTCATATACCGCCTTAATGCTTCATGTATTATCTTAATGCCTCACATACTTCATGTATCATCTTAATGCCTTAATGCTTCATGTATCATCTTAATGCCTCACATACCGCCTTAATGCTTCATGTATCATCTTAATGCCTCATATACCGCCTTAATGCTTCATGTATCATCTTAATGCCTCACATACCGCCTTAATGCTTCATGTATCATCTTAATGCCTCACATACCGCCTTAATGCTTCATGTATCATCTTAATGCCTCATATATCACCTTAATGCTTCATGTATCATCTTAATGCCTTAATGCTTCATGTATTATCTTAATGCCTCATATACCGCCTTAATGCTTCATGTATCATCTTAATGCCTCATATACCGCCTTAATGCTTCATGTATCATCTTAATGCCTCATATATCACCTTAATGCTTCATGTATCATCTAATGCCTCATATATCACCTTAATGCTTCATGTATCATCTTAATGCCTCATATATCACCTTAATGCTTCATGTATCATCTAATGCCTCATATATCACCTTAATGCTTCATGTATCATCTTAATGCCTCATATATCACCTTAATGCTTCATGTATTATCTTAATGCCTCATATACCGCCTTAATGCTTCATGTATCATCTTAATGCCTCATATACCGCCTTAATGCTTCATGTATCATCTTAATGCCTCATATACCGCCTTAATGCTTCATGTATCATCTTAATGCCTCATATACCGCCTTAATGCTTCATGTATCATCTTAATGCCTCATATACCGCCTTAATGCTTCATGTATCATCTTAATGCCTCATATATCACCTCCACTGAGACAATCCCACCTCCATTGTCACCCGTAATTTGTTCCATAAATCAACAACTTTATTCCCAAATGAATATTACTCAGGTCTTCTCTGAATCTAAGCTTACCCAGTTTGTGTGTATTGACTGTTTCGTATTCTACTTTGGTTAATATAATTAACAAATTAATATCCTTTTTTTACATCGTCCATTTGTATATAATTTCATTAATCTCTTCCTTTTAATTTGAATGTTTTTCATTCTTGTAAACAATTTGTCATTTTTCTCGGTACACTCTCGATGGAAATTAATATTGTGTTCCGTGACCAAAAATATTGTGTTCCGTGACCAAAAATATTGTGTTCCGTGACCAAAAATATTGTGTTCCGTGACCAAAAATATTGTGTTCCGTGACCAAAAATATTGTGTTCCGTGACCAAAAATATTGTGTTCCGTGACCAAAAATATTGTGTTCCGTGACCAAAAATATTGTGTTCCGTGACCAAAAATATTGTGTTCCGTGACCAAAAATATTGTGTTCCGTGACCAAAAATATTGTGTTCCGTGACCAAAAATATTGTGTTCCGTGACCAAAAATAAAGTTTTTGATTACGGGACATAATATTAATTTTGTTTGCATCACGGGACACAATTTTTTACTTTTTGGTCATAATCTAACAAAGGCAAGATAAAGCTAAAGAATAACATTATTGGTGTCCTATTACAAACGTTTTTAGATATTAATCTTAATTAAGTATCTTTTCTTGTTATATTTTGAAAATTTATATATTGAATTATATTTCATTATGCACAAATGCGAGTTGTTTATTTATCCTCTAATAATATGTGACCTATTATTATATGTATTATATGAGGCAATAAAAATCAGACTTAGTCATCTCACATATCAGGAACGGTTGAGGGCCACAGGGCTAACAACACTACAAACCAGGCATGACAAGGCGGATCTCATCGAAACCTTTAGAATACTGAACAATTTAGTGGATGTTGATCCGGACAATTTCTTTAAACGGTCAGATGTAACACGAACGAGAAGCAACGGGTTCAAGCTCAACAAACCATAATGTAGGATAGAAAACAGAAGATATTTTTTTCACCCATAGAGTTGTAAACCCGTGGAACTGCCTACCCGCCGAAGCCGTAAACGCCAAAAATTCTGCTGGGTTTTAAAATACAGCTGGAAAAGATCATCAGGACAAATGGGAGAAGGGGACCTTTGACAAGCCGCCGGCTTCCTGTCCTCATCGAGGCTACTAGTGTTGATGGCCCTCAGGTAAATATAAATAAAGTTATTTCATTTAAAAATCGACAAATGACATAATGGAAAATAATATAAAATCATATATAATGAAATGTTTCCTTTGTAAAATAACGTTTATATGCAGAGAAGTCACAATATTGTGGCTGCAAATTAGCAAATTAGACACCCAACCCACAACTCTGAACATTAAGGAAATGACACAAGTTGATAACGGTTCCTTCGGACCGAAACGTCGTCATTTCGTTTATTTTCAGATTTGTAGGTTTACATATGTTTATATAAACATATGTACTGTAATATGTAAATTATGTACTGTGCATAATTTAAGAGAGAAAACAAACGAATAGTGCTGAAACAAAATTCAAAGCAATATTCATTATTCATATTAAAATTTACATTGGGATTTGGGAGATTAAATAACTAAAAATATTGGTGCGTTAAGAAAACGCACGTCATTATTATGTAGCATGAAGGTCACCTCAACAACAGAGAAGCAAGCAGTAACGTCATGGTGGCCCATGCTCCCGGAGCCCATACTCATCCTGGCCGCCTGCCCCTCAGGCCTCCATGGCAAGGTGACCCTCACAGGTGGGTACAAGCTCCAGGAACTGCCTGCACCACCAGGGAGCTCCATACCACCTCCAGGAAATACTTACCAGAAGATAATTACACACATCCCCTCTGAATGCGTCGCCATCTTTAATTCCGATTGTTTATTACTAAACAAACGTGTATTATTATTCGCTAAGGAAGACTTGTTATGTCAGTTTTTTTTTTCCCAGGGATATTCCGGCGCGGGCCCCAGGCCTCTGGCTGGCCCACTAAGTGTTGCTTGTTTCTGTTTCATGACTCGTATGGTCGCTTCAGTAAGATTTTGTCTCATGTGTTTAACAACTTCTGCTCTGCTCTGTTGAAATGCTCTGTTGAATCTAAGTTGAAATCTTAATGGGTTTGTAACTGTTTACTGTGTTAGATAATGTTCCAGTGGTCTGTCTGGCATTTCTCCACAGTGCTGATATTTCCTCTCATTTTCCGGAACCTTTAAGCCTATTTCCCCATGCACATGGGTATCCAAGCCTGATGCAATGTAAGTGTACTTTTTGGAGATATATACAAGAGTTGTTACATTCTTGTACAGCCATGGTGGCCGCGTAGCGTTTCGGGCAAGTCCTTAATCCTATATTCCCTGGAATACGACCCCCACGAAGAATCGTTTTTACACCCAAATACCCATTTTACTGTTGAGTTAAACAGAGGCTATAGTTAAGGATTTGAGCCCAGTAAATCCTCCCCGGCCAGGATACGAACCCATGGAACGCTCACGGAACCCCAGGCAAGCGTCTTAACCACTACACCACGGAGACTTCTGTTGTTCTACTGCTCCCTTTCATCAAACTAAGTGGTTCGTAGTTGGTTGTCTGCTGTATAAGTTAAATATTGACTTAAAATATGTTGCCAGCTAAAAATGTGTTTGAGAATCTACTTAGTTCCGCCAGGAGGCCCTGTGCAATGTCTCCCAGTGCAGGGTTGAGCATATATATATCGTACATATATATAGTCATGTTTGCTATATATCTACATTTGAAACTGTGTATGGAGTCTGCCTCCACCATATCACTGCCTAATTCATTCCATTTGTTAACTACTCTGACACTGAAAAAGTTCTTTCTAATGTCTCTGTGGCTCATTTGGGTATTCAGCTTCCACCTGTGTCCCTTTCTTTGTGTTCCGCCCGTGCTAAACGCCCTTGCAAACGAATAGCGCCGCCCGTACTGTTCTATTACATCTGTCCAGGAAGTTACAGAACAGGGTTTGCACTTAAGAACAGGGTAAATGTAATTGGCATAAGAGAATGTGTGGTG